AAAAAAAAAAAAGACAACAAACATCAAATCATTTTTCGTTTTATATTTTTACATAAAACCTAAAATACTTGTTTCAAGAATTCCCAATTCCTTCGCTGGAAAAAAAAAATTTCTACAGGTCACGTGTGTGTACAAAAAAAAAAAATTTTATTCTTTTTTCTCTTCCTTCCGTATTACTATTATAGTATTACAGAATCTTTACATCATTAAAAAAAAAATTAAGGTTTGTTATACTAATTGAACTATTATAAACAAACGGTTTGCCGATCTATTAATCATCTGATACAAATTCATGCATACAGTACGTAAAGGATTATCCTTCTTTGTGTTGTCTATTGTCTATTGTTCTCTGTTCTCACTATAGATTTTTTTATTGTTACACAATTGTTTTATGCCAAAAGGCTAAACCTTAAAAAAAATCGAAAAAAAAAAGATGACCGCAGCAAACTATTTTTTATTTTTTTTATGAAAATTTAAACTTTTTTTTTCTAAAAAAAAAAAAAAAAATTTAAATTAAAATTAAATTAATTTTTTAATTTTTAATGTTTTAATTAAAAATATTTTAAATATACATGGCTTTGGTATTCGGTTTCACGGATCCGAAATACTAGTACCAAAAGATTATAACCCCGGTTTTGTTCATCTTTTTTTTAAGGTTTTCAAAAGGATTAATTAAATACTAAAAAAAAAAAAAATTGATACTATCTTACTATTTACAAGGTTAAACAAAATCTAGAATAGAATTATAAGAAATGTCTGCAAGGTCGATTAATATTGTGGAGAGTATTCCGATACCGATAATGATAATATCGATGTTACAAACAGAAAGAGAGGAAGGTTCGGTCATCTCCTTACATTTTATTATTATTTATAAAATAAGAAAGAAGAAATATAAGGGATATCATTAATCATTATTTAAGAATCTAATTTAACAAATAATCTTTTTTTGGTTGTTTAATACTTTAATACTTTAATTTGATTATCTATAATGCGTAAAAAAAGTTAGAAAAAAAAGAAAAAAAAATTTTGGCTTTTTTTTCCCCACAAAAAATGATGTAAACGAAGGCACCACATTTGAATATCATTATTGTTGATTTATTTAGGATATTGGTTTCATATTTTCTCCCTGGGATATACAATCTCTTTTTTTTTACTTTATGATTGTTTTTTTTTTAAAAAAAAAACAAATAAATAAATATTTTACGTTTTTAACTAGTTTATAGTTAATAAAAAAAATTTTTTTTTTTTTAAAAAAAAAAAGAAAGAAATTTTCTTCTTTTTCTCCGTGTCAAAATTATCCATTCATTCATTTAATTGAATTACAGTACAATATCAATCTAAACCATTTTCATATTCAACAACAATTTGAATCTACAATGTAAAAAAAAAAAATTTTTTTTTTCGGGAATGTATGATACATATGAGACATATTACAAAAAATCAAAAATCAGGGAATTCTCCGTGTAATTTAATTTGAATTTTTAAATTACAAATTGCCCAGGAAAAAAGTATATACAGGATTTTTTTTTAATATCCTTCCTTCAAGGGAAAAATATGTTGAACATTAATACAGGCAGGCAGCAAGCATACCGCGGTATCTGGTAGGGCATTGTGGTAAATCCTAAAACGCCTCATTTTTTTAAATAAAGAAATTTTCAAAAAAGGTATTTCTTTATCTAATATTATTTTACAATAAACAACAATGGTAAAAATATCCATTCACTTTCACCCCATTGTTAAAAAAAAAACAACGAATCTTGTATTTTCTTTTGCATATAATTTTATTATTTTTAAATAAAACGTAATTTTGCTTTTTGGCGGAATAATGGAATACACCGACATACATCAATTATCCTGTTATATAATTTTTTTTTTTTTTTTTTAAAAAAAACATACATATATAAAATTATTACCGTATGTAATTTATATTTTATTTACGTATTACAGTATTTCCATAATTTGGTTTCGTTCGTAAAAAATACGAATTACGCGTTTACATAATCTTGATGGTAGTTTTTTCGGAAAAGTGGTTTTGAAGAAATTATACAAACGAGGAAATAATGCAAGCCGAATTTTACCTTAAAGATTATTGTTTGGTATGACAAGAAACAAATATTTGAGGTACGTGACGTTTTTTATGATGACTTATGACAGCACACATAAATTTTTTTTTTTTTTTAATGTAATGTCAAAAAAAATTGGACAACAAAGTTTTACAATGCAATTCAAATATTTGAGGTACGTGACGTTTTTTATGATGACTTATGACAGCACACATAAATTTTTTTTTTTTTTAATGTAATGTCAAAAAAAATTGGACAACAAAGTTTTACAATGCAATTAAAATTAGGCGCAGCAATGTGTGGAGTGGGAATTTTTTAAAAAAATTTTAAATAATAATTTGATACGGAATCGAATTTTTAATTAAAAAAAAAATTTTTTTTATTTTAGATAGGAGATGATAACATAACCAAATTTGAATTATAATAACTCGGACCCAATTTGTTTTATTAGTAATAAATTTGATATTTGATATAAAANCTTTTTTTTTTTTTAAAAAAAACATACATATATAAAATTATTACCGTATGTAATTTATATTTTATTTACGTATTACAGTATTTCCATAATTTGGTTTCGTTCGTAAAAAATACGAATTACGCGTTTACATAATCTTGATGGTAGTTTTTTCGGAAAAGTGGTTTTGAAGAAATTATACAAACGAGGAAATAATGCAAGCCGAATTTTACCTTAAAGATTATTGTTTGGTATGACAAGAAACAAATATTTGAGGTACGTGACGTTTTTTATGATGACTTATGACAGCACACATAAATTTTTTTTTTTTTTAATGTAATGTCAAAAAAAATTGGACAACAAAGTTTTACAATGCAATTAAAATTAGGCGCAGCAATGTGTGGAGTGGGAATTTTTTAAAAAAATTTTAAATAATAATTTGATACGGAATCGAATTTTTAATTAAAAAAAAAATTTTTTTTATTTTAGATAGGAGATGATAACATAACCAAATTTGAATTATAATAACTCGGACCCAATTTGTTTTATTAGTAATAAATTTGATATTTGATATAAAAAAAAGTTATCAATAGATGGATATGATGTTTATGCATATTGAGAATATTGAATATGTACCTTATTGGTTTAGCATAAAATCATCAATTTTGTGCAACGCACAGACAAAAATTGTTGCGCCAGAGAGGTACTCTAAGACAATCTATTAATATTTCAAATATTATCAGTTATTCAGTTATTATTATAAAGGAAAGAATAGAATAATAGGAAAGAATATGGTATTAAGTAGATTTCTTTACTTACACAAGATTTAAATGTTTGCTTGTTTGCTTACAATATTAACACGAAAAAGTTTCAATCTTACGCGTATAGATTGTATTACTCACAATGTAATGTTTATAATGTTTATTAACTAATTATATTAGATTATATCATATTAAAGCGGAAAATGGGACAACCTTATTAAAAGATTATACAATTAAACGATTATACGTTTAAATGATTATACGAATTAAATGATTAAACGACTAAACGATTATAAACAAATTGTGATTGGTTATTTGATTACTGCGGTAAGATTGGTATATACGATACAATCGATACATGTAATTATATGAATATATGAATATATTATATACATATAAATATATATTTTTTTGATTGTTTACCTTTTACTTACACCTTTCATACTTGATTGTTGATATTGGCTTTTGCTTTGATTGCATTCTACGATAATTTCTATTCTACTTTAGTAACACAATGTATTTAGTCAGTATATGATGAAAATGTACGGTTTAAAAAAAAAAAAAAAAAAAAAATTTATGCTTTTTTTATTATACTGCGGGGAAAGTGAATATTTATCAAATTTATCGGTGTAAAAAATACCGAACTAATTTTGTGGTTATTGGATTTTATTGATAACTTTAAAATGGTCGTGCATTTTCCGGGGCAATTAACTATGTATACTGCTATCTAAAAAAAAAATGATCATGTACATCACAAAATCTCATTATTTTTTTTTTAAAAAAAGGATTTAATATTATAATTATTTATTAATGTATTTATTTACTTTTATTAAACTTCCAAATTTATTCTAATTACAATTGTTTTTGCCTTTTGCCAACTTTTTTTATTTCTTTTTTTGTTTTCAAAGAAATTTTTTTTTTTGTGTTATCTTATCTGCATCATTCAATTTTGGTTAAATTAATTTTTGCATATACAGTATGTATGTGATTTGTAATACGTTAGGTGCTGTATGTAATGTGCACTGATAAACTCAGCAATGACGTTTAGAATCTTTATATGATATGCAAATTGGCTGAATAAAATAAAATAAATAAATAAATTATATAATTGTAAATTGCTTTAAATTGCTTTAAAGAATAAATAATCATTGTATTATAATTTAGCTTTAGAATTTTACGCATACTGTATACTGTATGACTTACTGTGACTTACTTATGCATCAATCCAAATTATTTTTAGTTCTAAAAAGTTTTAAACAATGAGAAGAAGGTCATTTGTCACAAAAAAAAAAAA